ATGTCGATTTTGTTCTCCTTTAGGTTAACAGCATAGCACAGTTCCATCTCCCAGCTTAATCAAAGGCAAATTTGCAACTTGGCACTCCTTACAGGGCTAGATACATGTTTACCTCTCCATTCACAAACCTTTCCTGTATATTGCCTGTCTGACAGCTTTCACTATGGTCCCTGGGATATGACACTGGAGTCCAGCTAGGAGCAACTTGTCATATCCTGTCATATGTCAGCCCACTGAAGCAATCTGATAATGAAGAGGAGCCATTTGGCTTCAGGACAGAACAGCTCCAATGCAGCAAGGGTGCTTTGTCGCTATAGGCAGCAAAATAATGGAGATTTGGGGTTGCTCCTCCAGAAGAGCTCTGAGCTCCTGTCTTGTCCTTACTATCAAGGAAATGATGGGATGTTTGCACTTGATTGTGCTTTGCGCAATGCACATGGGTCATTCTAGCAGACAAGCATTCCTCATTCATACAGCTCATTTTAGCTTAATTGGCTATCGGAGATTGCAGAAGCACTCCTGTTTTCTATCTCAGTCTATTACAGCTGGCTGAGACGGAGGGGGAATCCACGCATAATACAGGGCAGGCATTATGACCATCTGAGGAGCTGAATTAAGAGAATGTTTGCTTTTGTGCCTCACAAAAGCAGCCATGTGAGAATTTCGGGGAAGGAGCAATGGAGAGAGTCGTGGGTTTTTTAATTGTAGAGCAGCATCTCAAGCTGGCATCCAGGTCGAAGCACGACATCTGCCAAGTGTGTTTCCCAACCATTTGGGGGGGAGGAGTGGGAGTTGAAAGGATAGGAAATGAGTTTAATAGACTAGAAAGTTCAAGCATTCTTAGAAAGAAAAAAGGCAGGTAAGGCGAGATATGATAGAAGAGTATAAAATAATATTATGAAATCCTTTATAGTGGGTAGGGAGATGCTTTTCTCCCTATCTTCATAATACTAGAACTCCAAAGAAGCTGTATGTTGGAAGATTTTGGGCAGACAAAATGAATGTTGTTGTTTTTTAATAATAAAAAAGTAAGTATTTTGTTACCTCAAATCACTGGGCATTGTCCAGCCAAAGCTTAGCAGACATAATTCTCCTAGAATTGCATGAGAAGTGTTTACCTACCACAGATGATAGAAATAAATTGTATCCAATTTCTTAGACTAACAGCAGAATCCTAGCCATTTGTACTCAGAAGTAAGTCCTGTTGAATTCAGTGGGGCTAATTTGCAGGTAAATGGGGTTTGGATTATAGCCTCATTTCTGATTTCTAAAATAGGCACATATATAGATATATAGATTGATACAGATATAGATAAAAATAACATAATAAAATAGCAATTAGTTTCTTTGGGTGTGTGAGTGTGTATTGCTATTTTTCAAAAAGTTAAAGTCCATAGACATCTCAGCAATTTCTGCCTAGGCACTGTTAAAGGTAAAAGGTAAAGGTACCCCTGCCCGTACAGGCCAGTCTTGACAGACTCTAGGGTTGTGTGCCCATCTCACTCAAGAGGCCGGGGGCCAGCGTGACAAGCTGCATCTGGCGAGCCAGAGCTGCACACGGAAACGCCGTTTACCTTCCCGCTGGTAAGCGATCCCTATTTATCTACTTGCACCTGGGGATGCTTTCGAACTGCTAGGTTGGCAGGCGCTGGGACCGAGCAACGGGAGCGCACCCCGCCGCGGGGATTCGAACCGCCGACCTTCCGATCGGCAAGCCCTAGGCACTGAGGCTTTTACCCACAGCGCCACCCGCGTCCCTGTTACCGACTGGCATATTCCGGCTATGTTTGGGAAATTTTGGACATATAGCAACACATGTATATTGTTGCTATTCCATTTGGATTGATGGATCCCATACTTATTGAGCAACTCATAAACCCATATATAATTATGTAATACTCTGCCTTGCACCAGGTTGAATTCTTTGTCCAAAGTGTAGGCTAGTATTGTCTACTCTGACTGAGAGTCACTCTCCAGTGTGTTTTTTTGGCTTGATCTTCTATCTGTTCCTTAAACTGAAGATTACACTCTACTACTGAGCTGCAATCACTGCCAAATTCCAGTTTATTGAGCATCATCTCAGTTTATTAAGCAACTTTCATTTCTACAATCTTCAGTTACTAAATATTTAAAGAATACCTTGTAAGATGAGAAGTGTCTCATTCCTTCACTGTCTAGAACTTGGAAGTTTTTTCCCCACCCTCTTTTTCCCTTGGATGCAATATGAAAATTATTTTGAGCTGGGATAGTTTGAATAGAACTATCGAGCCGGGTGGTGGGTGAGAAGGATGCGACTGTAATATTCATTTCCACAGTCTGTCTCAAGTAGAACCGCTGGAAATGTTACCGTGTTTAGTACGCTGGAGCGTAGGGATCTCTCATGGCTCTTCTTCTGGATCACCAGAGGACACATTTTGTTCCTAAAGAACAGTCTAGCAGGAATCAGCAAGGAAAGAATACTTTGATAAAATACATAAAGTGCATCATGGAGCAAACATATCGAATGTGATGCTCAGGGATATGACCATGAAGCCAAAATATTTGCATAAAGGGAAAAGTGCTTCCTCCTCTGCACTGAATATGCTGTAAAGCTAAATAAGTATATGTCTTAGAAAATGCATTTTTTTACCACTAAGGTTTACATAATTAGAAATGATGCAGTCTCAGAT